TCTTTTTCATAAAATCTTGGCAAAAAAAATTATGAGTTTGTTTCTCACTTTGTAGGTGAGGAAATTGACAGTATCACACAGGAAATAAATAGCAAAGTGGGATTTCAGTCCAAACTTGACTGATTCCCAACTCCCAGATATCATATGTCACTTCTTCCATGTGAGTTAACACATACACCCACTGAAGTGTTACTCCTTTTAATTGCTTTGATTTTAGCGGAGAGGATTAGAATGGTTTGGTTGTATATATACTTTAATTAAAATGCTTTCAGTTTAATTTACCACTGTGGAAACAGGATCTGTAATAAGGAAACAACCCCTTAAGTCACCTCTGCCTTCAGACGTGACCTTTAAACTTCACTGAACATAACACAGCCAGAGTGATCATTATAAAACATAAGGCCTACTATATGTGTATCTTTTAACAGTGTTGATTTCCCTTTATCTATTAAATACAACCAAAACTACTTATGTTGGATATTAGTACACCAATGTTCATTGCAGCACTTTTAAAATAGTCACAATAGTCAAAAAGTAGAAAGAAACCAAGTGTCCATAAACAGATGAATGGATAAACAAAATGTGGTATACACATACAATAGAATCTTTTTCAGCCACAAAAGGGGGAATGAACTTTCTTTTGGCGGCGGTGGGGAGGAGGGAATGAATTCTGATATGTGCTACAGCATGCATGAATTTTGGAAAATATTATGCTAAGTGAAATAAGCCACACACAAAAGGTCAAATATTGTATGGTTCCACTAACATGCAATATCTTAAATAGGCAAATTTATAGAAAAAGAAAGCACATCAAAGGTTATGAGGTGCTGTGGGGAGGGTAGATGGAGAATAATTGCTTAAATAGAGTTTTATTTGAAGTGATAAAAATATTTTGGAAGTAGTTGTGATGGTTGCATAATATTATGAACATAATTAATGTCACTACATTGTATAATTAAAATGTTAAGATGGCTAATTTTATTTATTATATGTGTATTATATTTTATGCATTGTATATATTTGCTGATGTAAAAAATTAATAATGTAATATACCAAAAACTATTAAGTTGTACACTTTTAATGTGTGAATTATATGGCATATAAACTACATCTCAGGGGCACCTGGGTGGCTCAGTGGGTTAAAGCCTCTGCCTTCGGCTCAGGTCATGATCTCAGGGTCCTGGGATCGAGCCCTGCATCGAGCCTCGCATCAAGCCCCGCATTGGGCTCTCTGCTCAGCAGGGAGCCTGCTTCCTCCTCTCTTTCTCTGCCTGCCCCTCTGTCTACTTGTTATCTCTGTCTGTCAAATAAATAAATAAAATCCTTAAAAACAACAACAACAACAACAACAAACCACTACATTTCATTAAAACTTTTTTTTTTAAACACTTCTTATCTTGGCAGATCAAATTCTTTATTATTGGAGCCCTCCCTAGAATTCCAGCTTCATCTCACACTGATTCAGGCCACACAACCTGCATTCTTTTTTTTTTTTTTAAGATTTTTATTTATTTGACAGACAGATCACAAGTAGGCAGAGAGGCAGGCAGAGAGAGAGAGGAGGAGGAGGCAGGCTCCCTGCTGAGCAGAGAGCCCGATGAGAGGCTCGATCCCAGGACCCTGAGATCATGACCTGAGCTGAAGGCAGAGGCTTTAACCCACTGAGCAACCCAGGCGCCCCACAACCTGCATTCTAATCATATCAAATGATATATGACTCTGTGTCTACCCTGTGTTTTTTCATGTCTTTGTACAAAATTTTTCTGTCTTTAGAAGAGTAGTTTGGAAATTTTTAATTTGAGAACGTTTACTCTCTTAAAAATTATTGAGGAGTTGAGAGAAATTTTGTGTGAATTGTGCCTATAGCTATTTACCATATTAGAAATTTAAACTAAAAATGTAGTTTTAACCATATAATAATCTCTTTTAAAATAAAAATGATTGCATATTAATATAACCAGTATCTTCTAAGAAATTATCTGTGTTTTTTTTTTTTAATATTTCACTTATTTATTTGATAGAGAGAGATCACAAGTAGGTAGAGAGTGGGGTGGGGGGAAGCAGGCTCCCTGCTGAGCAGAAATGCAGGGCTCGATCCCTGGACCCTGAGATCATGACCTGAGCTGAAGGCAGAGGTTTAATCCACTGAGCCACCTGGGCACCCCTATCTGTGTTGTTTTAAGTGAAAAGAGGAGACAGCAGGATTCACACATCTACTTCTTCATCCTATCTGTAATGATATTTTAATTGAAGTATGTGAAGAAAATCCAGCCTCACACAGCTATGAAGTTGGAAGAAAGAGGAGTGTTTTAGTAGACTTTTCAGATAATTCTGGATATTCTTTCACACTATACCAACACATAAGAAGCAACAGTTACTTAAAGGTTAGCTTCAGTGTAGAATCAGAAACACATAATGGTGAACTTTTCATACTCTATTACATTAAAGTTCATTGGTCTATCCTACACTTTGAATGGATCATTTACCCACGCATGATTTTATCATGCCATTTGCAAGGTATTGGTTCCCTAAGTTATGCATAGCTGTTGACACATTTCATTTAGCCTTTAAGCATTGGGAAGTTATCAAGCTTACTGTGCTTGATAGAAGTCTTCCAGAATTCGAATTTTTACTTGAAAGCTTGATTTCTATTATTTGCAGCAGATATTGTAAGTCATTTTCCTTGTAGTGACAGACTCATTGTATTCATTCTTTAGAAAATGTCTGCCTCATATCTAGGTCTGAATAACGATAGTCTGTTCTTCATTCTTTCAAGTAAAACATGGTGTTCCATAAAAGAAGCATGAACCCAAATAATAGCACAAATACTTGATTTCCTTCAGGTAACCATTGCACTTCAGAATGCAGCAAAAGTGCCTTATGTGTATTTCATCACCCAGAATATTAAAGAGATGTATACTGAAGAATCAAGATTCAATAAAATATAAATGTTTCACTCTCTTCAAGGATATTCTTTAAGTGAAACTGTTCTTTTGTTTTTATTTTTTTTCCCAGCTGCTAAGCGCCAGTGAAAAATACAATGACTACTAGGACAGTCTGGTGCCATCGTCATGATTACCACTCAGTTGCCAGCAGTCACCACTGCTTTTACATCATTAATGAGAATGTCAATACCATGGAAAAGGTAATTATCTAGTATTATCACAAAAATAACTCTTAGACTCCATGAACACGTAACGGGGAACCCCAGGAAACCAAACTTGAAGACCACAGGTCTAGAATTATCCTTCTTCCTCTTCTCCTCCCCTATCTAGCCCAATGAATTAATAGATTCCTATTGAACCTTTACATTTCCTCAACTCAGGTCAGTGGCATCTTGCACCCTGCCCCAAAGAGATTATTTTTGTTCTCTAGTCCTCTAGTATCTTGTAGATTCTACTTATTTTCAATGTTTGTTTCCTAGTAGTTGCTTCTGAAACTGTAGCTTCTAAAGGCCTATGGACTCATATTCAACTTTATATCAAAAAATTTGGAGCACAGAAAATGAATTAATAAATTAATACATTGTGGGTATAGTGTAAGCACCTCCAAATCTAAGTTGTGTCAGCCTAGAAAAACTGGAGGACCACAGTGTTATAATCTAAACTTCATAGACTTAAACTGAATCAATAAAAGTCAAATATATCTGAAGTCTATGATCAGTACAGTTACAGTTGCATTGTTTCTCTCTCTCTCTCTCACACACACACACACACACACAGGCACATGCACACACATACACAGACACACACATAAGCCAAAATGGAATGTTGGCATGTTCTGGAATTTACAAATTGGTATGAAATTATCAATAAGTATGGTAACTTTACTTAGAGAACAAAGAAATGAAAATGTATATTTGTACAAGTATATAATTTAACTAATTTGGAAAATCTGAATAGGCAAATACTGGCCTAGCAGAATGGCAGGCATAGCATGGAGTACCAATATGAAATAAAAAGTTTGAAAATATTTATATGTATATTTATATGAGGAAACATACACTGGATGCTGGAACTCACTAGTTATCAGGTATATTAATATAAGTTGATATTTTCTATAAATTAGACAGTCATAGCTGAAAAATTATGAAATTATTGTTGTAAAAAATATGGGACAATAAAACTTTTTACATACAGTTGATGAAATATAAACTGATATGGTCTTTTTGGACAGAAATCTGTCCAACTATAAAAAATAAAATAGACACCAACTGACTTTGCAATTCTATTTCTAGGATTCTGTGCTAAAGAAATACTCACATATATGAATAAAGATATCTATATGCAAAAATGTTCATTGTGACATTGTAGGTAATGATGAAATACCAGAAACAAATGTTTATCAGAAGAAAATAGTCAAATAGTTTATCTTTAGTACACAATAGGCATAGGCTTTCTAAAGAATGAGATAAAGTCTTATATACTGAAATAAATGGTTTTCAAGATATTTGATAATTTAAAAAAAGCAGCTGAATAATGCATATAGGATCATTCAATTTTGTAATTACAAATTGCATTCACATACATGAAAAAAATTCTGAAGGCATGACAGCTATCAGCTATGGATGAGTATATGGAATTGATGTTGCAATGATGAGGGAGAAATTTCATTTTTAAATCCATATTACTTGAATACTTTACAATTAATTTAATAAACTAATTTGCAATTTAAAAAGTAATGAAAAGGACTGACCTAAAGTATAGTGAAATTGGAAAAGTGGGGGATATATGGAAATCACATAAAGAGAAAAGAGATAGGTTGTATGAGGAATATATTGAAAGTTCAAGATTAGAAACTAATAATCAAAATATACATACAGTACATGCTAAGAGTAAATTGATTTTTTGACTTTGGAAGATCAGATAATATAGGTGCATTATTCTTGAACATAAACTCAAAAAAATGTAATTGCTACATGCAATTACCACTCTAATTTCTCTGCTAATGCAAATGATACTCATTTCACCAAATTATTTTTTAAAAATTATTGTACTTACTTTCAACGATTACTTGTCTATCTTCCCAGTTATCTTTAATAAGCTGTATATTTCCAAAGTGTGCATCACTGTAAAAGATTCGGTTGGTACCTTTTCTTCTTTGATTGTAGTCAAAAGCCAAGGCTATGACATTCTTGAAATAATGTGGATTCTCATATGGCCTTATTGGTGAATTTAAATTGGTTTCATCAGAAAGATGTATACTTTTTAATATTGTTCTCCCTGAATACAGCAAATAGCCTTCATGCCTTAGGCAAGTAACTCCATCCTCTGCCAAATATCCATGGGCACAAGTGCAAGTTCTCCGAGAATTTCCTCTATAAAGACAGAGTTGCTGACATCCACCATTGTCTTTGGCACAAATATTGGTCCCTAAAGAGGAAAAAAATATACATACGTACACAAAGATATATTTGTTTTTCTTTTGTTTATCAAATTATTTTTTTCTTACAGAAATATTTAAAAATAATGTTGAATGGTCTGTCTTTTTATTTTTTTTAAAGATTTTATTTATTTATTTGACAGAGAGAGAGATCACAAGTAGGCAGAGAGATGGGTGGAAGCAGCCACCCTGCTGAGCAGAGAGCCTGATGTGGGGCTTGAACCCAGGACCCTGAGATCATAACCTGAGCTGAAGGCAGAGGCTTAACCCACTGAGACACCCAGGCACCACTGTCTTTTTATTCTTAATACTGGTGAATGAAAAAATATCAAATACTCTAAAGTACTGATTTTTTTTTATACCAGTTTAAAATCGTGGATTTCTTATTTCAAAGATCACATTCTTCTGCTCCAAACACCATCCAAATAAAAGCATTAAAATTTTCCCTCAATCAGCCAGTTAAGTGTATAAGTCTTTTTTGAAACTTGATGCTGAATTGCAATAGGTTTTATGTATTATAATCTTTAGCATAAATAACAATTCTTTCAAAACATGAACTGAATTCACCAACAAAGTGCACACTGCTTTAAAATCTTGCCTATGAAATACAAAAGCTATCAAAGAAATTTACAACTGTAATGCACCTAACCTTCTAAATATAGTAAGCATAAGTTTTTGCTTCAGTTTGGAGGGAAGACGTAATATATTAAGATTAAGATTTCTCCATCAGGCTAATTTTCCTCCATGAATCCGTCATCAGCTCCAAAATTATCACACCTATCTTTGATGTCAAGAAAATTAATTATAATTATTTCAATGGACATTAAAATTGATATTTAATGGCATAAAATAGGCATTTAATTTGACTGAGGTAAATTTTTAAAAAATCCAAACCATCATCATAACAGTTTCAAATACACATTTTAAAGAAGTGATGACTTCAGAAATATTTCACACCAACAGCAAACTTCTGAAGCTATGATCACTTTATATATCAAAATATAACCCCAAACACATATTTTTGTCTGCTTTTTATTCTCTAGTATCCTAATTATGCAATGCATTTTTTGTTGAGTAGATAGATATAGATATAGATATTCTATATTACTTAGCCCAAACCTATAGTGAAGACATGCCAGGTATATAACATTTCCATATATATACACTGCCCTAGGCAAACATATCTATGTATGAACTATTATATATTCATTTCATTAGGCTACTATATGATTTTTGTAGGAAATTAGATGTAAAAAATAGAATTTTGAGGTTTTTGATTCAGATAAGAATCTCTAACTTAAGTTTGATAAATGTTGAAAAAATAGGAGAGGGATGACATAAGATGTATTCATTATATAAGAATGCTGACCTTTCTCTCTTACTCGATTAAAGATTTTAACTTCCTTCAGGTTGACTCCAAGACCTGTTCTCATGGTTATGGTTTCTGTGGCATCATTCTTGTGGCCTCTTCTGATGGACCCGTTGGCATGTGCTCTGACAAGAAGTTGAACATACATGATCACCAATCTTTAAGTAATTCACATCAAGTCAATTATTTAAACTGAAGATAACAGATGGCCAAGCAGAAGGGGAAAAAACCAACTTTAGTCTGTGACATTGAAATACTTGAGCCAGGAAAAGCAAGAGTGCCTTTCTGTGGAAATAACATGGCTTTGTGAGATCCTTTTTATGACCTTGCTAAGGAATGGCTAATCCTACAAGGGTAAAGCAACTGGCACTGAAATAACATTTTGAGACTCAAATACTTATGAAAAAATAAATTACCTGTCAGACCAGTAGATGTAAGCCCCAAAGACTGCAACTGAAAACATATCCACATTGCTCCCTGACAGCACCATCTCACGATTCCCTCCAGTCTCAAGGTCGATTCTTTCTATTTTGTCTGTACGAGCATCACACCAGTACAATTTGTTTTCCTAAAGATCGATTGAAAAGTAATATTAGAAGCTGTTTGGGATTAAATGATTTATTAAAAAATAAGGGAACAGTAAGAATGGATTAATGCAAGTTGGCAGTTAATGCATTTTAAATACTTAAGAAATCCAACACACCTCATAGTCAATGGAGATACCATTTGGCCATGCTATTCCCATGCTTACAAGGATAACCTTCTCTGAGCCATCTAAGCGAGCCTTTCCAATGCAAGGCATCTGTCCCCATTCAGTCCAGAACAAGTAACTGAAATGAAATTGTTGATTTATAGTAATATGCAAATAGACACAAAAACACAATTATTAATAATAAAGCAGTAACATCCATACCAATAGAACAAAAATAATACATTTTAGAAATCAATATACTTATGTGTTTCTGTTTATAAAAATATTTTTATTGTAAATAATATTTAGTTATTCATAGAAATCACAAGGATGGATTAAAATTCCTCCAAAATACTTTGCTCGTTCAACTCCCTGTCTGAAATGCTCTTCTCCAACCTGTTTGACTAATTTGCTCTTGTTCCTATTTCAAACATCATTTCCCTCAAAAATTCTTCTGTGTTCTGATTACTGTACCATACATTCTGCATGGATTAGAGTGGCAAATTTACGCTGTTACATTTCTTATATTTCTGTACAGTGTTATTTTTTATTAATGTCTTTTGTCTCCACTGGACAATAAGCTCAAGGAAGACAGTGATTTTTTTTCCTTTTCATCTGCTGGGACACTTACAGCACTAGAAAATTAGAAAATTTTTAAAATAAAAATTAGTTATAGATAAATATTTGATTTATTAATGCATTCATAAAAGCACTATAATTTCAATTCTGTCTAATTACATTGCTAAATGTAACTATTCTAATTTGAAGTTTGTAAGTTATCCTGTGAAGCAATCATAAAGTGCAGATTCATACAAAAGCAGACATTCCTATTTTAGTAATCTCATAAAGCAAAATGGAATATGGAAGAAAATGAAATACAAAAAGAAAATCCAGAGCATGCTGAAATAAAACACATCCAAAAAACTAAATGTAGAAAAATAGAAGACATATTATCTGTGCTTTTTTCACTCATTCACTCAGCATATATAATATTTATATTACAAACATATTATAATGCAAAATACATGCTTTCAGGATCCACTCTTCTGAAGCTGTGCCTACTGAAGTTTTTATCCAACCATCAGAAAATGACAATTAGACTTTAGAAAAATATGGCAATCATTGATTCATTCAGGCAAAATTGGATAGTATTCTGTGCATATTAGAATACATATATGAGTGATCATACATGAGAAAATGAGATTGGATAAAGAAAAATCAAAGATGTACATTCATATTTAGTATCCACTTAATGAACTTACTATTCATCCATAAAAAAGATAAACTATATAAAAATATATGTATTCCCTTTATGCATATTCTTTCGATTTATTTTAAAAGTTGATTTTTTTTTTCCTGAAAATGCTATATAAAATAAATGTGTTGGAGTTTTACAACCAGATGAAAAAGAGGTGTAGCTAGAATTCCAAGTATAGTAGTCCTGAAGAAACATTCATTCATATTCATAAGCTCTATAAATCAGAAAGGGAAATCTTTGTAGCAAGAAATCCAACTAATATTTTATTGGTTAGATCAATGCTGAAACAGGCATGAAAAAAAATCTACACTTGCATTAAAGTTAATAATTTTTTAAACTTTAATGGGGATTCTCATTACATTAAAAAATAAATTAGATAACTGAGAGGCCAAATTTGTTGCCCCATTTAATTTTTTAAAAGAAAATTTTCAGCATTAATAGTGCTCCTAAAATGACTAGTCAGTCACTGCGTTAAAATGGCAGGGGATGTGACACTGGGAAGAAGGTATTGTGGGAACCAGCACAGATAGTCGGATTCATGTCATCTACTTTAACATATTTCAGAGTTCAAGTATGTAAGGAAATATGTAGAACATACATTTTATTTAATAATAACCTACTTCCAAATGTACTAAGTGAATAATAAAAAATATTACTTCGAGTGAACAGGGAAAATTAGCCATTTAATATATTTAAGCTCTAATTCTCACATGTATGGAAACTGTGGCTCAGGAAGTTAATGATCCACAATTGCACAGATGACAAGAAAGGGTTCAAGCCAGGAATTTCACTCAGGCTTTATGAACCCAGGCCTGTGGTATATTCTCTATGTTGTCTCACCAAGTATAAATATAATACAATGATATAATAATCTTATATCAAATGCTATTTTTCCCTAGGTATAAAGAATAGAACAAAGATCTTCATACTTAAAAACACAAAACAAGCCATGAAAAAAGGTCTTAGTATTGAGAAACAAATCTCTCTTATTCTTTTTTCTCAAGTAGTCCCTATTTATTTTAAATCTATAACACTTCCATGCAGGAGTCTTGAATGAATGATTATAAACTTAAGAATTAAAACTATCCAAAATAAAATTGTCTTGAGTAAAGATTTTCCTCAAATTTCCCATAGCAATTTGATAAATCATCATTATATATGAAGCCAGATCTGACTGCGGGAATCACTTTTATGGCTAAATAATTTATCAACTTAATAAAACTAAAAGATTCTATACCTACTAAAATTAAGCAACACTTTATGAGTATTAGGAAAGGAGCAATTTATTTGCTCCTTAAACTGAAATTAAAAATAAGGTATCAAATAGAATTAGCACCTTAAGAACCTTCAGGGATTATAACTAAATGTAGAAAAAGAACACTAAGCTTATAAAACTTCAGGGAGAAACTTATAACTAATTTAAGATAGTAATTTACATAGATGTACATGAGATAACTTTAATGAACATAGATTCTTGGTATCTAAATGTGATTTTTCACAAAGGAAAGAAATGAAAATCTTTGTTACTGGTTTTTGAAACCCCATGGAAATTAAGATTCAGTGACAGCATTACAGATTGATTTTGTTCCCATTTGAGTTCAAAATTTGCCACAGTGAAATGTTTGTTGAGGTATATGATATAGTGAAGGAAATTGCCTTTAGAGAATTAGCTTGGTTAATCTAGCACTAAAAATACTTCTCAAGGTTATTCCAGACCTAGAAATGTTCAGAATTGTCTAAATCAAATGCTGTGTTGTATAATTGAAGTTTCTCTGGATAATTATTTGTCCTAGTAATATGGGAATTTACTATTCCCATATTCCCATACTATTCCCTAGTAATATGGGAATTTACAGAGGCTTGCAGTTATATAATCTATAATCACAAAATCAAAAATGGGACATTCCAAAAGTGGTTTGAAAGGATTATAAAAATAATGTCAGAAATCATCATAACACAAATATCCACATTGTCTTAATAAGACACTGAAGTTTTTGGCAGGAAAATGTGCAATGAATACACATTATGTTCCAATATTAACGCCCAATTAATTATTGACATTTGAATAACAGGTAAAATATTCCATTTGGTTGTACCGAAAATCCTAAAGTCCCCAAAAGTTTATTGAATTTATCATATGACCATTGTACAAATAATCAGAATTACCTTACATACAGATACACTTAGAAAGGAAAACAAATCTATTTTTCCTCTCACAATTAGTTAGATTAAAGCTCAAAAATATAGAAAATTATACAAATGTCCTTGTATAATTATAATTTTTTTTTTTTTCTTGAGAAATAAAGCTAACATAAAGCTTTGGCTTTGGTAGGGAAGGGTAAAAAGTGTGAGATAGAAAGAAAAGAATGAATAAGGCCAAATTATTATAAAAAGAACAGGATTAAATGTGATTTTTTTAGACATAAGAAAATAGTGAAAAGCAACTACTTTGAATCAATCCTTTTTTTGAATTTGAGATTCTCTTTTTAACTGCTAAACTATTTCCTTTGAACACAGATCTGGGTTTCAATTTTTACAACAACCTCACCACTTCTTTCTATTCCTATGCCCTTATGAGAGAGCATGATTATATACTTTATCAGATATACTAAAGAAAGATGAGATAAAATCAAAAATTTCCATGCTGGCACAAAAATGAAGATCATGTAATTCTTTTATAGGTATATGCCTTGATTGAGAATCAAGAATGTTACTGTTGGGGCGCCTGGGTGTCTCAGTGGGTTAAGCCTCTCTGCCTTCTGCTCAGCTCATGATCTCAGGCTTCTAGGATCAAGCCCACATCCTGCTCTCTGCTCAGCAGGGAGTCTGCTTCCCCCTCCTCTCTCTCTGCCTGCCTCTCTGACCACTTGTGATCTCTTTCTGTGTCAAATAAATAAATAAAATCTTAAAAAAAAAAAAAAAGAATGTTATTGTTCTCTCTGCCATACTGGGGGTTAAACAGTATGTTACTTTATCAGCAAAAAGTACAAAGAAACAAAAAGAAACAAAACAAAAACTCTACAAATTAACAATAGCAGCTAGCCTTTATGAGAGAATGAGTTTTATCTGACAAAAACTTGCTTACAATTTTCAATGTCTTAGCAGTTTCATTAAAATTACTTAAAACTCATACTAATTGAATGATTTATAGGCCATGTCAATGTCTTCATCTTTAGGGTACATGCAAATAATATAAAGCTCTGAATACATTTCATGAATACATGAATTGACATCCTTCATCCCCTATGAGGAAACGGTGTAAAGTAGAACCTTCTCTATTCCTGTGAGGGCTTCTTCACATTTCCTTGTTCTTCATTTAATGTGCAGTTTTGTTTTGAGAAGGCATTCCATGCCAATCCTAAATCACTTTTCAAGTGTCCTGAATGTGTTACTATTGCTTAGAGGTTACTGTAATATAAAAAGAACTCAGGCACAGATAGCAGAACATACGCTAAAAGGAAGAGTCTAGAGACAGTATAACCTTGAACACTACTTTTTTTTTTTTTTTTTTTTTTTTTTTTTGGTCTGTAGTTTGGTGGATGATTCTTAAATGTATTCTTTTAATGCAGTCATGTACTCACATAACAAATATCAGGTAGGTACCTATTATGTGCTAGCAGCTGATGATACCAAATGTAGTGGCCTTAGCAACCCTATGAAACCCACTGATTAACGGTAGAGGCAAAAGGGTAAATAAAGAATTACCTTAAAAAAATGCCAGTAGAAATACTTGAAAATTTAACTATTTAATTTAATTTGATTTAAATATTTAAGGTTTAAGTCTCGAAGTCATAAAAGTACAGGCTTCAACTCAGAAAACGTGCAGTGGTGAGAGAAGTTGTCATTTCCATAAACAATTCAGAAATGAACTTTTCTTTTGA